CTGGCGTTCATTCCTTCAATGCCCCGAGGTCGGCTACAACAGGACGAAAGTTTTATATACGCTTTCCGACAGGTGTCGGTCCGTTTCTTCTTCAGCTTAACGGTTCTGAACAGACGATCATTCGTCATTCAGTGATACAACAGGAATTTGAGGATGTTGAGACAGCAGCTGATGTCACGTTCTTGATGGTTCAGAAATGCAGCTGTTTCGAGTCCATAAAACAGAACCGATATAACCGCTACTTTCAACATGGTACTGTTCTCTTGATCGATAATGAGCCATCTTTCCATACTCTATGCAGCCTTGCAAAGTTAGCTGCTGCAAGTCGAATATGACAGCTAATGACTGGGTCACAAACTACAATGTTCGCGACAATTGAACCCACCAACTTTATCCACCATGTTTGACTTTCAGGGCATCAGTGAGGATTGGTGCTTTCATCACTTTTGCTTTTGTCAGGATGACTTGCAACCCAACTTCTTCTGCAATACTGCACATAATAACGATAAAGAATTTCAGACCACCGCCTGAGTCGCTCACTAGAACAATGTCATCCACATACTCCAAGTCGACCAGATAAACTACTGAGTACCTGAAACTCTCTCTTGACCTAAATGATGCAGCCATCTTTCCCCATTCGAATGAAACTTCCGCAAAATGGAGTCAACCACGCTGCAGAACAGTAGTGATGGAAGGACATCACCTCGATGAACGCCGGATGAGATGCTGAACAAGTCTGATAAACCGCCTTCATTGCTAACAGCGCATAATTCTTTTGTAAAGTTCTTACATCAATTTTACCCACTTGTCAGGTATTTCATACTGATGGACTATTCGCCATAATTTGGCGATGGACCGTATCAAATGCTGCGTGAAGTTCAAAAATGTCAAGCGCCAAATTATATGTATAACACAGTTATGACATTATGTGAAGAGTAGATCAATGATGATGGCTGGAGCAACTGGACAACCAATCGGCATTATTCATCATTACGAACAGTCAATTTTACCCACTATTGGTGTGAAAACTAAATCAGATCGGCAGATACAGATCAGTAAAGGAACACTGGAACGGCTTGTAACACCAGGCAAAGTAAAACCGTTTAACAAAAGAGAAAACTTTAGGTGGGAGGTTTCGAACCGTATTTTATTGGCACTCTTCAACGAGACCTTATCAATACTGTTTAGTGTACTGAACGACAGTCGCCACAATATATTAAATCCATAGAGCTTTTCTGGGCTTGCCTTGCTACTAGTTTTATTTCAGCCGGTTTAATAAAACTATTATAGATTGCATAATGGTACAAGCAATTTAAAAATTATTACAGACTGATCAAAACTGCGCCCAAGCGACTATGACTATATTCAACAACGAAACTATTCAGAATGGCTTGAAATAACCCGAGGGAAGCAAGTTTGTTACTGAATTGAACTTAATGATCATGTAATCGTACCTGGACAACAAAACGCTATGACGTGATGGACACTCAAACGCTTGTTCCTTTACATAATGACATAACAAATCCAGAATCCAAAAAATTCCGAGGTAATAAAACTGCTCAAACAAGCAAGGTAATAAAACTGCTCCGAGCAAGGTAATAAAACTGCTCAAACAATAAGGTAAATGAACCAATATGTCTGCAAAAGAAAGGTATCAACGTGTTTTAATTAAATGCTCTTTCAACAACAACAAAACACCTAAGCTTCCGAAAATGAGTGTAAAGAAAACCACAACCATTAAATAAGATGCAATCAACAAACTAACTGTCACCAAAAAAATTTCTGCTTTCTCAATACACACTAACGGGCAAGAAAAACGCTACAAATCTGGTCCTGTACGTTACTGCCACATAGCAGGTAACTTTAACAGTTCTTAATTATCGAAATGACATTCTGTTGAGTACGATAACTCTATTTTTTATTAATGGGATTCTCCAAAGTAACGAAATCGAATGTCACAATCACAAGGTGTGTTTTCGCCAAAAATTTAAGCTCAGTTTATAAACTAACGACTTAGGCTTTATTTTATGCTTTCAAAACAGGTCGAACTTTATGGAAATGTTGGAAATTGTGCTAATAGTCATATCATGTTTTACAAAGGGAGGTTCCAAGAGACAGACACTGATGTCAAATCTTATATAATAAAGTGACATTTTAAATATTTCTTGCATCTGGAAATATAAAAATGATTTTTTCTAACAATTATGGGTGCTTTTACTAAGTAACAGAATGAACTTCGAGGATGGCAAGAGTACTTTGATGAACTCCTTAATTCTAGCAATTCCAAGAAAAATCGCCAGAAAAGCAGCAGCGAAGCATATTAGTTATTCACCAAATGAATCTATGCAACAGTTAAATGCGTGAAGAATGTCAGGGCTTTCAGAATCGCTAGAACCCGCCAGAACATGCTTAATTCATTATTACAACAAGGGATGTTGTAACTCTGTAAAACTGCAATCAGAACGGGGAAAACTCTAGTGAGCTGCGAAATGGGGGTTGTAGTATTTTTGTTCAAGAAAGAAGCTCATAGGAAGTGCTTTAATTATCGTGGCATTACACTACTGAATTTTCAGAAAGTGTTTGCCGATAAAGAAGCCACACTACTCTTCTTGTATTTTGATGTCAGTTATTCCGCGGCCTCCTCCTTTCTAGCACCTTTGCATGATTTTACCTGGGATTGTTCCTGAAATTTAATTCCTTTGATTT